AAATAACTGGACATGACAAATGAGGAATATTGACATAGTGGAACACTAAACTAGAGCTCTATGTATCAACAGAATGCTGAGTGAAAAAAAGCCAGTTGCTGAAGCATATGTACAGTATGATGCTATTTATAAAGTTTCAAAACATGAAAAACATGTTGTTTATGGATATGCACATATGTAGTAAAAGCCTACAACATGCAAGAGAATGCTGAACACAACTCATTATCATGGCCGTCACTGGAGAGAGGGAGGGGAAGGGGATCAAGGAGGGGCACAGGGGCACTTTAACTGTATCTAAGGTTTTTTTGTTTCTTAATCTTTTTATCATATGTTACTTATTCTTTCATTCTTTAGGGGTTGGCAAATTACCACCCATGAGCCAAATCTGTTTTTGTATGGTATGTGAGCTAAGAATGGTTTTTACATTTTTTAATTGTTGAGAAAAATTAAAAGGATATTTCATGATATGTGAAAATTTTCATGTCTACCAATAAAGTTTAATTGGAACACAGTCACATTAGCTTATTTTCATATTGTCTATGTTTGCTTTTGTGCTATAACAGCAAAGTTGAGTAGTTGTAACAGAGATTGTATAGCCTGTGAAACAAAAAAACATTTACAATCTGTCCCTTTATAGAACAAATTTGCCAGCACCTGGTTTATTGTGTGACATATATTTCATGATGATTTTTGAAATGGTAGCATTAAAGAAATAAAAAAGTGTGTATAATTCTACCATCTAACAAAATTTGCTTAATTTTTCCATGTTTTCTTCTAGTCTTTGACAAAACCCACATATTTTTACTGAAATCAGGCAAAGATATTGTACATTCTGCCTTCTCCCATACATCAATTCACAAACTTCTTTGATGTTCTACGTAGCATTCAAATTTGCACATTTTAACAACACAAATTATACAAATTATGCTACATGGTTGGTAAGCATGATTCAAGCTTACCAACCATGTAGCATAATTTGTATAACTACCTCCTCACATTTAAACTTTTATATTCTTTTCATTTCCTCTCTATTTGTTATTAGTTACAAGGCAAGTAACATCTTTGTTAACAGAGCTTTCTTCCTCTTTTTGACTTAAAATAAATTTCCAGAAAATAAATTCTTAATCTTCCCTCCCCCTACCTACAATTTGATAACAACCCTCTCCTTCTTGGGTTTACTCCAACAACCTCTTGCTTCTTTAGTCTTTTTGCTTATTCCTTTGCCTTCTATCATACAAGTGATCTTTCTCATTTGACTCTTTCTAGTGGTTGCTTAGGTACCAAAAAAGTGCTTGCTCTTAGATCTCAGCTTGACCTTACCATCCCCTGGGTGATCCAACATTCTGTAGTGCATTGTGAGGGCTGCTTCTTGCTTTAATTTCTTAACCCTTCCCCTCATCATAGGGTCCACTCTACTCCTTTGCTGAGTTAAAGTCTGCCAGTAAAGTGTTGGTAATTAAGTCCAAAAGCTTTTTTTCTTGATTTCTATCTTCCCCATGAAGCTCCTGCTCTGAAATCTCCTCCCTCCTGTTCTCCAGGCCTTTCTCTTTTTCTACAAGTCTCAGAGCTTATCTTTTCCACTGAACTCTCTCTAAGGATTGGGATACACCCACCTCTTTTGAGTTCACATTCAACCCATGCAAAGCTCATTCCCTTAATTCTACTTTGCTGTAATTTAAGTTGTTTTACTCTCCTTTGAATGACTATGAAGTTAAGGAAGAAAAAGTAAAAACTTGCAGCCAGACAACATGGAGAGTCCTCTACTTAAAGTTTCAAAATAATCAAACCCTTGAGATAAATTCTAGGATCACAGGCCATACTGTTCTAGTAACTGAATATCTACAAAGCGAGGTCCACAGATCAGTAGCATCAGTGTCACCTGGGAGCATGTTAGAAATGCAGAATTGTAGGCTCTACCCCAGATCTACTGAATCAGAATCTAGGCTTTTAACATGATGTCCAGGTGATTCACATGTATATTAAAGTATGAGAAGCATTAGTCACTAGGGCCTCCAACAAAAGTGCCCCAAGGATTCCTTGGAAACCTCAAACCAATGAAGTTTACCTTTAGTGGGGCAAAGTTTGGTGTGAGAGTAATCTGGCTGCCACAGCTATCACCCTTTTGATGGACAGGGTTGATTCGATTGGTCTCCTGGCTAGGTGGGCAGCTTCCTTCCCTCATCATTCTAGGTACAGGTTCATTCCTCTAAAGCTGCAAAAGGGTTTGAAGAGAACAATCTTTTCCAAGAAAGGAAAACTGTTCTTCAACCAAGAGTATAGGCAAGTTTATAGAATCTTTAGTAAAGTAGGCACATCCTGTTGGGGGTTAGAAAACATTTTCTATTATATTTTCCAACTAAAAATGTGTATGATCAACACAGAACCAAAAAACAATAGTTTATACCCTTCATTCTCTCACTCAATAAATATTAAGCACCTACCACATGCCAAGCACTATTCTAGGTGCCGAGGTTATAGCAGAGAACAAAACAAACAAAACCTCTGCCTTAGTGAAGTTTATATACTAGGGGTAGAGATGAAAAACAAACAAATACATAATATAGCCAGCAGTGATAGTACTTTAAAGAAAAATAGAGTGGTGGAGCCCACTATTTAAGATGGGTGGTTAGGGAAGACCTCCCTAAGTGAAGACATTTGGGAATATGCCTGAGTGAAATGAAGGAGCAAGTCATCCAGATACTTGGCAGAAGAGAATTACAAGCAGGGGAAATAGCTAATGCAAAGGCCTAGAGGTAGGAACATGCTTAGAATGTTCAAGGAGCAGCGAAAAGGCCATTAACTGTGGTTGGAGCAGATTAAGCAAGGAAGAGAGTGGAACCAAATCATCTAGGGTCTTTAAGGAGCTTGGGTTTTAGGCCAGGTGTGATGGAGCCATTCCAAGGTATTGAGCAGAGAAGTGATGCAACTGATTGACATTTTAAAAGGCTCTCTCTGGCTGCAGTGAGGAATAGATTCT